GGTCCTTCCTAGCTTTGTCTTAGCCTTAGCACTCACTGAAACAATGATGCTTTTCAAGTAGCAAGTGGAAACTACAACTCAGTTACATGCTGTTGACTAAGCATGTCTAAAATATTATACAAGAAATTTCCACAACTGTGGAATATTTCAGGAAAATGCTTCCTCCAAATCCATTCAGGCTGTCCAGTAAAATGACATTGAGGAAATGTGATTTTCTCTGTGCTGCACCTTTATCCTTTTAAACTAGCCCCTGAGACAGGAGCTTTTTGTGCTTATTCAGTCATCCAGGTTATTCATGACGACTCCGCTGTCATGTATGCATTCAAGTTAAAGGTTACGTGCAGGTGGGGTGGGTTGTGTGCTGTGAGTTTGGCGTGAGTGCATGTGTGTGTGGGTGCATGTGACACATAGTGACAGCTGCAGCTGGTCACAGCAGCTACAGTATCAGCTGCTGGAGAGGAAATACAATCAGCTTTGCTGCCTCAAAGCACTCATACACACTTCTTTACCCTCACACATGAAAACAAACTGTGGATGTGTCCAAGTGTGTTTGTGAAGTTTGACCCGTTTCCAATTTAGGTATTGGAAGATTAGCGTGTAGAGGCATCCTTTTTTTGGTGCGTTTCCAAAATGTTAACGATACTGTTGGTGTCATGATTACCTTAGATACTATGCAACTGAGCTCTAAATGTTTGGGTAAGAGTGCCTTATGTTTATGTATGTTTTTACACACAGCCACCACAGTCGGCACGCAAAACATGAGTGTAGCCATCTGTTTGTTAAGTCCCAGTGTGAAGTGTTACACCAAGCTTTTTGTCATCACCATCTTGGTATCTAGAACCGCATTTCACAAAATGAGGCAAGTCGGAGTCTCGATATCCAACAGAGGTTTCTCTCATGACAGCATATTTTTCAAGAGTTGTCGACCATCTTGGATGTGACACAGTCACCAGTTGCAAGGGGAAAATGTGCATTCTCAGAATGGTTGGCAAGTGGTTGGTGTACATTGCTGCTCTAGTTGGTGCTGTAGCTAAAACCTCCTTGTGCTTTCTTTGGTCACTAACAGGCCACCACGCTTGCCTCACTAACCCCAAAATGCTTTTCTGGCATTTTGGAGGCATGGCAGTGCAACAAATTTAACCCAATGACAGCTAGCAACCTCCACAAGCCACTGCCAAGCAGTCAGGGAGTACATGTTTACTTACAACCGGTATGACATCCAGTATGGAGGATTATATCTTCAAGCTCCTCCGAGTCCAGACCCAAGTCTCAAGCACTGTGTACATGACATCACAAATGAAACATCAATAGACTTATTTTGGCTACCAGACAAGTTTCCACTGCTGGAAAAAATCCAAATTCCAGTCATCAATTCATTAGCTTTACTTTGAGGAATAAACAGCATGTTGATCATTTATATACAGCATATAGTATATATGGTACCTAACATATATGTACTTTCTATTTCATAAAATAAGGTTAATCTGTAAAGCAACAGTTTCAAATGATTTTTATTTTTAAAATATAAACGTAAAATAATTTTGATGGAACACTGACGTCTAAGAGGGAAAATGAATTTCTTTTGTTCCTACCTGTCATTTGTGTATTTGTAGCATTGGTCGAGCCAATATAATTATTCAGATAAAGACCATTGAAGTTTTATTTCCAAGATGCTAGGAGCAGCTCTTGACAGATTGCGCCTACTCACACAAAACCCTGCTGCAGGAGACTGGAGTTACAAACTCCAGCTGCATAAAT